CCTGGCTGTGGGAAGGCAGGCGAGCGACCTGGATCGACCTGCGCCATCGATGTCGAGGGGCATAAGCGCCGCCCACCATCGAAGGTGGGCGGCCTATGCCATGAGTTTAGGGTTATAGGACTTAGGGTTTAAGGCTTAGGGTGAGGATTTAGGGTTTAGGGATTAGGGTCTGCGCTTCCAATATGAAGCACCCGGCCATCTCATAATTTCAGTAAACATGTCCGCTAGATAGTTGCATTCCTGCCTATTCCTATAGTGAGCTTGACACTCGGAGGTTAGAAAGTTTTCCATGAGAGCCATTGTCTAAACTCCAATATCCCCCTTGGTAACCCCTGTAATACTCCCGCAAATGATCCACTAAACTATGTAACCCCCCTTTCAGGAGATTAAACTAAATTCCATGTGAGCTATAATCTCAACTCCTAGCATCCCCCTCAATATCCCCTGTAGTACTCCCCTATATAATCCCCTATATAAGCCCCCTTTAAGGAAATTAGACTATATTCCATGTCATGGCTTTTAAAGGATGACTAATATCTTGCAAAGACTTGCTTCCCAGGAACACCAAGGCTGGAGGATGTAGGTCTGGAAGAAAACCTGGGGCAAGGAGAATAATGGGTTTAGGGTTAGGGTTCAGGGCTTATATGAGAATAATGAACCGTAATACAAACAAATAACAAGAAGAAATAGTAAGAATGAATAGCACTAACCAAGATAAATGGTAGAAATTAAATTCGGATGGGAACCCAAAAAGGAACCATGACTCTGACAACCTGGGAAGAAGACCCCATTCCTGTGAATCTACCTGGGAGAGGCTTCCGGCCTAGCTGATACGAGAAGATGTTCAGATTGTGAGGGTGCATGAGAACATTACTTGCTGTGACTTAGCCTAGGCTCCTCAACTTCCCCCCCCCTAATATCTCACCCTACATAGAAACCCTTTCTCTCACCCTTTTTCACCCCTACTTTGAAACCACCATACAACCCCTTATATCTTATGTCTTGGGTACTGCCCCCCGTCAGTAACAGTTGGATAACAAGTATATTGCGGTTATATATGGGCCTTCATAGGACCCCTAATATAGAGTACCCAACTTATATCCCCAAAACCATCCCCTAAAACCCAGCCGAACCTTGCCATTCCGGTCCAGCAGTGCTTGGAACTGCTGCACCAGGCCACGCTGCTGTCCGTGTGCTCGCCTGAGATATTGTGGGAATAAGGGAGGGAAAATGTGGTTATATAGGATTTAGAGCTTAGGGTTTAGGGTTCAGGTGCGGGGTTTAGGGTTTAAAGTTTAGGCTTTAGTTCATATTGGGTTATATCGGGATTATATAGGGATAATGGAAAAGAAAATGGAAACTACTATGGTCTTAGTATCAACACCAGAAGGTGTAACGGAAGCTCAAATAGGATGTGCATATATGATGGAAATGGAAGCTACTATGGTAGAATGGTGTATATATTTAAATTGGAAAAGAAAATCGAAGCTACTATAGTAGAATAGGGTATATGTTTATAATGGAAACGACAAGGGAAACTACTGTAGCATAATTAATGGGGTATACATTGCGTTTGCGTGGGGCTTTGAACTCTGGTTGTGTTTGTAAGCATTGGAGGCCACATTCGTCAAGGAATCCCTAGAGAGAATCAATGGGGGAAGAGAGCAGGGAAATTTTCAAAGTTCTGTTCCCCCTAAACCCTAAACCCT